GATCAGGGAGCCCAAAGTGGGGCTGGATCCTAGGACCCCAGGATCATGACCGAAGGCAGATGCTTAACTGACTGAGCCTCCCCGGTGCCCCCCCCCACTCTCTTTTATTCTTAATAATCATGTACTATTCATTTTTGCACGTGTATATACAAGTGTCTAGCACATAGACCTCTGTAATTCCCAGCTTTTGCCGGGAACCCCTGGCAAAGATAATAATATTTACCCACCTTTTTTTGGTGTAAAAAAAAGAGTAAATATATCTCCTCAAATAAAAATGTATAGGTTTAAAAAAGCTTTTAAAAATTATTTTTACTCAAAATATATAATTTCAATTTTGTTAAAAGCTAGTTAAAAACTCTTGATTAAAAACCTGAATAAAGTTCTAGGCGATCTTTCAATAACAAAGGGATTCTTGGGAAAAGACTGACAACTATCCTATTTAATACTTAGTACAAAAATTTCATCTGTTTATGAACTTGAGTCTCTTGGAATTTCTAATTCTATTAGGTCAGGAGATTAAATTCCTCTAAAAATCTATTCAAATACTCTTTTTTTTTCAAATTTGAGAAATGTGTTTGACATTTTGTAGGTTTTTTTAACTATCTAAAGGACTTGGAAATGGCAAGTTAAACCTTAATTCTGGGTTAGCAAACTATAATCCTATGGTTGTAGGATGCAATGGTTTGGTGAATTGTGATGATGACTGATGATTTAAACCGATTTGCTAATACAATAAAGTTTCCCACATTTAAAAAGTGTTTTTGATAATGTCCAAAGTGTATTTAGAGTTGAAGTTTTGGTCTTTCAGTTTTTTAGCCATAAAGAAGGCAGAAAAACATTCACCAATCCTTGCAGTATTCATTAAAATAAGAACCTTCACCATGGCCATGACGAGAACCCTAAATAATTCCATGGCTCAGAGTTGTGCTTTCCTGAAGTTAGGAAAAGCATCCTGTGCAGGACACAAAGGAAGGGACAGATCCCAGGCAGGCCTGATTCTTCAGCAATTCTGGTCTTCTGCCGAGTAGGAGTACTTAGTGAGTCAAGGCCTGAAGGAGGAGGAAACTACTATCTCCTGGGAAAGTCCTTTGTAATCTGGAACACCACAGATTTCTCAGAATGGGAGTTGGGATCAGAGTGTCTCCTGATTCTTGATGAAACAATTCAGTATGATCAAGGACACACACCTACGAAAATGGCTTCTGGAAACAGTGTTATTCTGGTATTTAGGAATAACCCAGCTGCTGAGCACCAGGAAATAAGCTTCAATCAACTACATTTCTTGTTAAGTGCTAGAGGACTCATTGGATAATAATTCTATTATAATAATCGTAATGACAATAAGCATTTATTATTCAAAGGCAGGCACTTGATATTCATTATATTATTAAGACTTTTACTTGGCATTCATTTTATATTACTTCCTCTGCCCTACCAGCTGTTATACCCAGAAATCTGCCCCAGAATCTGTTGGGGTCCTGATTAAGTCTGAGAAAATTCTATTGTAAATAACTAAGTTACAAAAGATTTTATCTTCAATCATTTCCTCTGCCTTATTTAAAAAAAAAAAGTTCAGAAAGAGTATTGTGTCAGTGTTAATTTTTTGATTTTGATAATTATACTGTGATTATGTATGTTAAAATAAATGGGGTAAGAGATATGAGGGAACTTTTTGTAGTAATTTTTCAACTTTTCTGTAAGTCTAACATTAATTAAAAACAAAGTAGAAAAACTTCATAATTTCTTTACTATAATTTGGTTTATATCTTTCATTATTTTCTTGTGGCAGAAAAGCAATACATGTTCAATACAGAGAACATTTTACATGCATGTAAGTAAAAGGAAGAAAATAAAAAAATCCCTTAATTCAACCAGCTAGTGGTATCTGCTATAAATACGTAAGTGTAAATTCACTGAGAGGTATGTGTATATGGATGTGTAGTATGTATTAATTTCAATCACTGACTCCATTGGCAAAGATAAAACTTGGTATTTTTTTAATTGAACTTAATTTACCTTATACCTTCGGTTTGCCTAATGGGAGGTAACTTAATTTAGTGACTTCCAGGTAGCTCAGGCATTTTTAGATTTAAAGTCAATTAAATACAAGTTACAGATGCAGTCCCCTTTCTCTTACTTACCCTGTAGGCTATGTTTGGGCTCCATTCACCTTCAGCAGGCACAACTACTGAGCTTTCACAGTGCTGGAGGCTCACTGGGAATTATGATAAGATTTTGAAAGGCTGCCCTGAGCTCCTTAACGGAGCCACGTTATTAGCTTTTACTCTTTTATTGCCCTGGCACATTTCTGATCTCTTAAGACTCTTAAGATCTGCAGAACCTTGAGGCTACACTCTGGAAAATGAAGCATAGCTTTCTTTTTTAATGGGATCCCCAGAAATTACTGGGCTATTATCCTTCCCTTTGTGGTGCTTGGCCTAGGGTGATGGCATTCAGGCCTTTTCCCTGAGATCCACTTAAGAGATTTCCTCTGTGAACTCTAATATGTCATTCCTGAAAATTCTCCTCTTCCATTGAACTTTGTCTCTGTCTCCTTATGGGTGAATAAAGCAAGCAAACAAGCAAACACACAACATCATATATTCTTCCAGAACCTATTAGTTATGACATAAACTTAGAAGTTTATGTATTACAGTCAGACTTTTGGAAATTCAGATTCTTATTTTCTTTGCCAAGGGTTTCAAAATTCTACATTGTTAATAAACTATAAAAAAACATTTTTTGTAGACAATTGTAAAAATCTGATTATGTTATTACAAGTTATTAGAAGACAGCAAAGATTGATTTATTATTAATTTTCTTGGGTGTGAGACTGGCCTTGTGGTTCTGTATGAAAATATTCCTAATTTTTAGAGAAGTTAGTGAAGGCCATTATAGGCAGGCTGGGTTGGGAAGTGATAGGAGTGGGAGGTAGGGGACAGATTATAAAGAGCCACACCTGCCATTCTTTGATTTCAAGTTCACAGCATCAAAAAGGAGAGTGACATGATTAATGTGCATAAAGGGGGGATGATGAGAACGCGTGTTTGTGACTGGGAGGTGAGTGGCTAGAGGAATTTTTTATTCCTTCCCCTCTCTCGGCATCCATACCCAAATCCATCAGCACACCCTGTTTGTTCTCTTAGCTTCATCATCTCCCCATTCCAAGCCACCATCATCTCTTAGCTGGACACAACTGTTTCCTAATTATCAACTAAGTAGTCTACTTTTGTTTTTTCTCTAAAATCTCCATAGAGCTGCCAGAATGAATTTTTTAAAGCCTAATTCACTTTGTTATTCTCACCCTTAATGAGGGTCTACTGCATTTAAAATAAAATACAAACGCTGCCATAGACCATAAATTTCTGTGGAATCTGGCTCTTAACCTTCTTCACCATCCTCTTTGTGCTATGACTAAGTGAAAGAGTGTTCAAGTTCAACTGCTAGATCTGAAATGTAAAATTGTGACAGAGTGGACAAAAAAGTTGACTTTAAATAGCAATTTTGTTTTACCTTAATCTGCATTCTTTAACAATGGGGCAATCATTACAGATCTTAAGGAGTCAGGTTTACCTGTATTTTCATATTTGCAATTTTATCTTTCAGTCTAATGATCATGGCTTCTTCATTGATTTTACACATACAACATTTTCAGTCTGAGCATTTTCTGGCGTATTTTCTAAGAACTTTAGACTCTGGCACACCAAAAATTGAACTATATTGCCATTTGTCTAATACTTCCAGAAGAAAGTAAATTAAAATAATTTGAAATACCACTGTTTTCACCTTCCTCATCATCTTCTTTCTGTTTAGTGAAATGAAGTAATAAATTGCTGCAAATTCAATTTCTCTTTCCATTGCTGGTTCATGCTTACAGATGATAGCTTAAGAAAACAAACAAATGCCTCTTGAAAAAACTGTCTTATTGACTACTCTTCATACTCTGCTGAAGGAAATGTAAAATGGACCACTCTATGAAGGGCAAGTGTCAATACTGACCACGTTCACAAATACATTTCCTCTTTGATCCTACAATTCTCCTTTGACAGTTACACGGAGACAGTGCGGTTCAAAACCACCACCAGCTTCTTACTCTGGTGCTGCTGTTGCACCAATTAAAAGGTCAGCTGATTTAATTTCTTCTGGGCTCCCAAGGTGCAGAGCTCAGCCTTGCCAGCCCCTTGGTTGCAGCCAGCCTACTGTACCCAAAGTACAGTTCTCTGATTCTCCTCAGACTCAAAAGCCAACTGTGGAGCTCCGTTCCTCCTATGGTTCCACCAGAGGAAAACAAGCTTCTTCCCACCCGTTCACATGGGCAGCCACATGCCTCAGGTAAAGCTGGTCCTGCTCACCACCTCCCAGCAATCACCAACTGCTAGAAATGAAAATTTTCCTTAAAAAAAGAAAATGGAGGGGGGGAACTCTGTAAACCTAAATTCCAATTAAACACTCTGAATTTGTTGCGTCTCATAGATTCGCTAGTGACGCTTAAGATGAATAGTTTTAGGGCAACCACTCGAGATTCACCCCAGGAAATGAAAGAAAGTAACTTTTTGGTAGCTCCGGGGCTCGTAAAATCGCAGAGCATATTCAGTGGAAGATCCTGTTACAGGTCACATCAGATGAGGTAGGGATGAGGCAGGATGAGGTAAGGCCTGAAGAATGGGGCTGAGACTTAAGGCCTGGGGCAAACAGTGGAAAAGAGAGTCGTCTCCCTGTGTTTGAAGCTGGAAATCAAGCAGAAAACCCAGACACCACCAGCATGTCACTCGTACTCCTAGGGCCGCGTGGTTTTCCCGCGCGCTCGCCTCGGGGGCGGGGAAGAACCCGGATGGAACCGCCCCTGCAGCCGGGACCCCCTACAGTCTTTGAATCCCTGCGTGGGGCGGAGTTGCCCTCCTTTCCATGCTCTGATTGGTTCATTTCCGTAGGCTCCCTCCTCGCGATTGGACTTTGCCAGTGTCAGTCACAAAGCGTCACTGGTCTCTCAGATTGTTGCTAGAAGGCGACTGCGTCGACGTCTGATTAGAGTCGCGGCGTTTCACTTCCACCAGAGCGCTTTTCCTCCGGCGCTCAGGAACCTACCCTGTGCTTCTCGACTGTGGGGCCTGGAGGGAGGCGCATTGAGCCGACTCGAGAGCTATCTGGGGCGCCCAAGCGTTCCGTTCGTTACCCGCTCAGCGCCATGTCCTGGATGTTCAAGAGGTGAAGGGGGCGGAGGGGGTGGGGCTCAGGGTAACGGCCTGTCGGCGTCCCCAAATGAACCTGACCTTCCCCGCGTTCCCTTCGAGTTCTCCTCGCGTTCTCGGTGCAGCTTGTGGTGGCTCATCGCCGCGGGAGAAATAAATGCATAGCCTTGGCTGGCGAGGGGAGGCTCCTCAGGCCAGCCTCATGCCAGGGCCTTGGAGAAATCTCTCTCAGGGGCTGTGGGGGGCCTAGGGTTCAAAGCTCCACTCTTTAGCCGGGATCCTGATCTGAGCTTTATTCAGCGAACACACGTTAGATGCTCACTGTGCGCTAGATGGTGTGCTCGGAATAAAGGGCCAATTAAGAAAGCCCTTGTCCCCAAGTAGCTCACAGTTGATGTGCATGCACAGACATTGAAATATGTATTTGCAGTGGAGCCAAAGAGGTATGCGCGGCGTACAAGGAAAACGCGGGGAAATAGCTTCCATCTGTTCTTAGGAGAGTGGAAACTTTCAGGAAGCCTCTCAACGAACTTCCCCTTATTTTTCATTTTCCAAATTGGTGTACATGCCTGTTCCTGGAACAGTTATCCATGGGATTGAGCGTACCCTTAAACCAACGGGAATGGGAGGCTTGAGGTCAGCTTCCCATGATGGCATGATTTGGAGGTCTGAATAAGGGTTCTGTTTGGAGAGAATTAAAATAGTGAATGCTGGATGTATTATCTGTAACCGTATAAATGGCCTCACATATAATAATAGTTCCATATTTGCAAGTCGTTTCTAGTTCAGTTTTTATTGAAATTTGGTGTGTAATTAGAGTTACATCATATACATCTCAGTTTAAATAGATGATCATCACTAGGGAAAAGATTTGTGAGCCCTTGTTGGAGTTTTCATTTTGAGTACTCGGTAGGTAGAAGAGGCATTACTGAACAGGTTGGGTTCCTGGAAACCTTCGCCACTCACTCCAATTCCTGCTTTACCCATAGTAACACTCTGTCAATCTTTATACAGCAGTTCCCACTAAAGATTTAACATGTTGAAATAAAATGAGAAAACAGTTGGCCTATAAATATAGTATGGTCTTTGGTTAAATATTGTATCATTTTCTTGTGCTTTTTCTTTTTTAATAGAGATCCTGTTTGGAAGTACTTGCAGACTGTCCAATACGGAGCCCATGGAAATTTTCCACGCCTCTCATATCCAACTTTCTTTCCCCGTTTTGAATTCCAAGATATTATACCTCCAGACGACTTCCTAACTAGTGATGAAGAGCTAGATTCAGTTTTATTTGGAACTTTGAGAGGTCATGTAGTTGGACTACGCTATTACACAGGAGTAGTGAGTATAATAATATGAGATATTAAGTTGAAATATATTTATCTTGTTAACCCAGAAGATAAGAATTTGAAGGTGATATGTACAATTAATACTTATTTTACTTTAAGTAGAATGTATCTGGGTAAGAGATAACAAATATTTAATGGCCAATTTTCTTTTGTATTTATATCCTGCTTGTAATATATAAAGCACTTTTTCCTGTATGGTTTCATTTGATGGCTATAATGACTCGAAGGTAGATAGAACATCTATTATCCCCTTTTTATAACTGAAGAACTGAAGCTTAGGAAGGTTAGATACTAGGGGTGTATTTGTAGAATAACTTCCAAGTCAGTTCTTTGCTTTCTCCTCTTCTGTCCCTTAGTGCATTTCTTTACTTCCAATATTTTTAATTTAGGAAGATTAATTCCTATTAGATAAGGGAATTGTCTATTTTTAGGTCCTTTTTTTTTTCCTTTCTGTAGTAAGACTATCTGTCTCCCAATTTTTCTCCTTACATCTGTCTTTCTGTATCTCTATTTGTATTGTGTGTATGTGAGACAGAGATAATATATGACTTATAGCTGGTCAGAAGTTGTCTTTGTTATGGTTATGTAGTATGTTTCTGTGTTATTTGGATGATGTATCACTAGTTTTCATCTTTATTATGAAATATTTTAAGCATGCATAAAAGTAGAATAATATAACAAACTCCCATATACCTGTGATTCAGCGGTTAACAAATTTTTCTCACATTTCTTTCATCACTTTTTCTTTTGTCCTTTAGGACAAAAAAAATCTCTACTGTTTCAGTTTACATCCATATAATTCAGTATGTCTCTCTAAAAAAGTTCAGACTTTGTCATTTTCATACTTAACAAAATTAGTAATTCCTTATGATATCTAATAACTAATCCATAACCAGTTTTCTTAATTGTTTAAAAATGTCTTTTTATAGTTGTTTTTTTTTTTGAAAAAGAGCATGCCAGAGCATGAGGGGGGAGGGGCAGAAGGAGAGGAAGAGAGAGAATCTTAAGCAGGTTCAAGTGTGGAGCCCCACAAGGGGCTGGATCTCACGACCCTGAGACACTTAACTGACTGAGCCACCCCACCTAGGCACCCCTCCTGTATTTTCTTTATATTGGAGCTTCTTAGATTATTTTGTAATTGTCTGAAATGTGTTGTCTAGGAGATTTCTTAGGAAAGAAGGATTTCCCGAGTTTCTGTATGTTTCTAATTGTGACATTTATATTGAAGGGCAGTTTGGCTAAATATAAAGTCCTTAGCCCGTATTTTCTCTCTCTGTTTTGATGTTGCATAAAATGTTGGTGAGAATTCTGATGACAATATGATTTCTCTCCCATATAAGGGAATTGGGAATTTTTGCCTCCATAACTAAAGGGTATTTTTCCTTATTTTGAAAATCTAGTAGTTTTATTGGCTTATGTCTTATGATTGCCCTGTAACTTCATTTTCTTCTATTTCAGAAAATTTTTCTTTAATTACAGTTTTAAATGCTTGCTTTGTTTTTCAGGGACTCCATTCTACCATCTATCTTTTAGATCTCCTCTGCATGTATCTATGCCTGTGTATATGCTTATTATTTTCTCTGAAATCCTTTCTATCATACTTCTTCACTTTTTAATTTTTCATCATTTATTTCTCTTACCATGTTTTCCACAAGGTCTGTGCACTTTGTGTTCTTTCTGGTTTTTAATTCTGAAATAGTTTTTCATTTCTAATTTTTTCGTGAAATCTGTTGGTTCTTATCTCCCATCCATCTCTCTTCTTTAGTTCTCTATCTCTGAGCTTGCCTATTTCTGATTTGTGCTATTTTTTCAAAACTTAGATTGTTTTCTAAATTATTTTAAGCCATTGTGAAATACTAGATTATGGTTTCTCATCTTAGAACATTTACTATTTGTTGAGCTTAGAATAATTTCTATGACACTAGTAAGCTAATAAAAATGTTGAGCCCATTAAAAATAATCATCACTTTTTTTGTTTTTAAAATATGTATTATTTATTTTATACGTAATAGATATTCATTATTTTAAAATGGCTAAAAGAAAAACCATTAAATCTCCCTGTAGTTTATCATCCTGGACCATAAGTTATTCATTTTATTTTTTCACCCTTTACTCTGTGGGCATATGCATGTAAATTGAAATCATATTATGTATTAAAAATTGAGATTGTTATTATGTCTATTACAGTGATCACCCTTTTTTCTCCTGGTAAAATATTAGGACTGTCTTTTCATGTCAGTACAAATCTATATCGTATTTTTAATTTCCTTATTGATGGACATTTTGAGGTTGATCACTATTATGAAAATATAGTAAAAATTGTATTTATCTTTGCATACTTACTATTTTCAACTTTTTCCAGTTTTATTAAGATGTGATTTACATGAGAAAATACACATTTCTTTTTTTTTTTTTTTTAAGATTTTACTTATTTATTTGACAGAGAGACACAGCGAGAGAGGGAACACAAGCAGGGGGCGTGGGAGAGGGAGAAGCAGGCTTCCCGCGGAGCAGGGAGCCCGATGTGAGGCTTGATCCCAGGATCCTGGGATCATGACCCAGCCAAAGGCAGATGCTTAACGACTGAGCCACCCAGGCGCCCCCCCCTTTTTTTTTTTTTAGAAAATATGCATTTCTCAGTATATGATTCCAAGAGTTTTGACAAAGATAAATACATGATAATCACCATTCTAGTCAAGATATAGATTATTTCTATCACCCCTGAAAGTTCTGTTGTGTTTCATTGCAGTCATTTCTGCTGTACCTGCCCTAACAACTACAATCTAATTTCTGTTGGTATCAGTTTAGCCTGTTCCAGAGCTTTATATGCATTAAGTCATACATTATGTACTCTTTAATACTAGCTTCATTCAAACTCAGCATAATTCAAATACTTACTGAGTCAATTTTGGCAATTTATATTTTTAAAGAAAAGCATCTTTAAATTTTCAAATTTATGCTACAGAGTTGTGCTTAGTAACATTTATACTTGAAAATATTTTAACTGTGTTCATTGTGTTATATATTTGTGTCTAGTTTTTGTCAGTTAGCCTTGGTAGAGATTTATGTTTCATCTTTTCAAGCAACCTTTCTTGGATTTTTCTTATGGTTGTTATTTTTCTTCATTGTTTTCTGTTTTATATTCTGTTATCCTATTTTCCTTGTTTATTTTATTTTTAGATTTCTGATTTGAATGCTTAATTTTAATCTTAATAATAATAGCTTTCGATCTTAAACATTCTTCAAAGTACTGTATTAGCTATATCTCCTAAGTTTTGATATATAAAGTTGGCATTGCTAATTTTTTTTTTAATTTTTTTTTTTTGGACAGAGACAGTGAGAGCAGGAACACAAGCAGGGGGAGTGGGAGAGGGAGAAGCAGGCTTCCCACTGAGCAGGGAGCCTGATGTGGGACTCGATCCCAGGACCCTGGGATCATGACCCGAGCTGAAGGCAGACGCTTAATGACTGAGCCACCCAGGTGCCCGGCATTGCTGGGGGAGGGGAAGGCAGAGGGAGAAGCAGGCTCCCTGCTGAGCAAGGAGCCTGATGCAGGACTCTATCCCAGGACACTGGGATCATTACCTGAGGGAGAGGGAGAAGCAGGCTTCCCGTTGAGCAGGGAGCCCGATGTGGGGCTCAATCCCAGGACCCTGGGATCATGACCTGAGCCGAAGGCAGACGCTCAACTGACTATTTTATTTTTAAAGATTTTATTTATTTAGTTGAGAGAGAGAGAGAGATCACCAGTGGGTGGGGGAGAGAGGGGAAGGGCAGAGGGGGAAGGAAAAGCAGACTCCCCGCTGAGCAGGGAGCCTGACGTGGGGCTCAATCCCAGGAACCCTGGATTATGACCTGAGCTGAGGGCAGATGCTTAACCAACTTAGCCACCCAGGTGCCCCTATTCATTTATTTGAGAGAGTGAGTGCGCCCGCAAGTGCTTGTACCTGAACAGCGGGAGGGGCAGAGGGAGAACCCGGGACAGAAGCAGACTCCCTGCTGAGCACGGAGCCCTGTGTGGACAGAAGCAGACTCCCTGCTGAGCACGGAGCCCTGTGTGTGGTGCTGGAGCTCCCTGAGATCATGACCTGAGCTGAAGTCAAGAGTCAGAGGCTTAACTGACAGCCATCCAGGTGCCCCAGGCATTGCTAATTTTTAAATGTTTTTTTTTATGTGTTTTTATGAGTTTATGGTTAAATTTTTTATTTCTTGACATGTCTAAGTATTTTATAATAAAATAGATTATTTCTTTCCTATTCTAAAAATTTTCTTATCCATCTCTCTTCTTTAGTTCTCTATCTCTGAGCTTGCCTATTTCTGATTTGTGCTATTTTTTCAAAACTTAGATTGTTTCTTTACTTCCAATATTTTTAATTTAGGAAGATTAATTCCTATTAGATAAGGGAATTGTCTATTTTTAGGTCCTTTTTTTTTTCCTTTCTGTA